AAGGAGGAGGAGGGGAGGAAGAGTGGCAGGAGGGTTGAGATGTGAGGGATGAGGAGAAGAAGATGATAGAACAGAAAATGGAAGGTGGTGTTAGAAAAGTGGCGTGCTGGGTGGCTCTAATGATGTCTGAGGGCCATAAAAGAGGAGAGCAGAAAAGCACATATAGCTGTGGTGAGAGGGTAGAAAATCACAGGTCATGTGATGGGATGTTAAGCAGGAAAGATTCTCCAATGTGTTCATAAAGCAGGAGCATCAGATCCCCTCATCTTCTTAATGAAGTTGATCTGTGGCCAAAACCTCTCTGCAATTGCTTTTTCATGTTGTTCAGCAGGATCCTCTACGCTACACTTTATGTGGTGCCAGTCCAGCATGTTAAAGGAAGGAGCACCACCTAATGTGCCTTTTTTTCTGTTTCCTTGTGTAATAACCAGTCATTATGAGCTGAAAGCCTCTCGTGTATGGGGCCAGATTCCTCCCTCAAGGCCTTTGGAAATGCATTCAAACTTTAAAAATGTAATCAACAAGTTCAAGTTAACAGCCGCAGCATGTTGGCCTTGAAACATGATGTTCACACGTGGGACGTGTGGCTGTTGATAGGGTTGATTTGACATCATTGTAGGAAGAACCCTGAGCAGGTTTAAAGTGTAACAAGAAGGTCGTGTTAACATTTAGTCTTAATCTGTAACTATGGGACAGCTCAAAGAGTCTTAAGATTAATTTATTTATTTATTTAAGAACACCACCAAAGATGTCATTTATTATCATAGGACTCACATCGATTTTCATTCTATAGCAAAGATAAACAGAATCAGTTATGGAACACTGAACAGACACATGGGTTGAAAAATGTATTTAACCTGCTTAAAGTGATGGTGTGTAGTTTTCCTGGTGAAGAGGGCAGTACATACATAAATTAATCCTAAATAATTGCAGTATTTTTGTGTTGGAGAAAGACCTTACCAAAAGATGGCCATTAGGGTCAAAAATCCCTGGGAGCGCAACCTCCAGCTAAGTAACAAGAACATCAGATTCCCTTTCATCACTGGCAACGAGTGAAGAGGTACATGTGTAAAACAACAACGTTTATGAATGGAGAAAGTTTTGTAATCGTTTGTTAAGAATCAGTAAATGCATTTTGTCCTCACGGGCTCCCATAGAAGGAAACATGGCGTTGCCCAGAGACAAAGGGTGTTTCTCAACGTCATGGCGCCTGGCCTTGCGAGGCAATGTCTTGCGAGGCCAGGCGCCTTGCTTACGTGGACACTGTCCTTCCTTGGTCAAAGGAAACGGTTAAGTGGAACAGACTTGCATCACGTGACCACTGCTTTCACGGCTGTCACGTAACGTCACGTGTCACGGAAGATAACGTTATATTTTATATGTATTAGTTTCAATATACATATATAACAAGCCTTTTACTTTTTAATTTGTGCATATGTTTATTAAATTAAAAATATAGGTGAGTTACTACCCGCTAGCCACCGAAGTTGCAACTACTAAGCTACTAACCAACCATTGATAACTTCTTTGGATCTAAAAAAAACCATTTTAAATTAGTTTACGTACTTTTAAACTTGAAATTTGCCCCCGAAGTAGCTGCCGGCTTCTGATCCGCCATCCTTTTGAAAATACCGCGGTGTATTCTGGGTAATTTTTTACCAAGGCTTGGCTGCAAGACACCTCCCGTGTATCCTCGCTCAGCTAGCTAAATGGCTAACAAACGGAGAACACACGCCTCGGTAGACCATGAACATTGGAACACGTCTTGGCGGCTCCTGATGACTTATCTCCTAGGCAACCGGGGCGGGGCCAAGACATCAAGTCGAGGTTCCTTGGCATCAAGAAGCACCCTTAGACCTACTTTCATGTAATTTTGACCTGATTTTTATAGCCATGTTTTACAAAGCCACCAATATTTTTCAACAACTATTTCCAGGGATTAACGGTTAAAAACTACACATTGTCTCTTTAAGGAAATAAATCATGAATAGTCAATAAAATGCGACAGCGATCCATCCATTTTTCACCAGTTATCCAAGGTGAGATGATGGATCCAGTGTAACAGTGGCTAATTGCTACGTACAACGCTTCACAAACATTAAACGACACTTACGCGTCCGGTTAGGGGATCATAAGGTGTCCCCAGGCCAGAGTAGAGTTCTAGCCATGCCCAACCCACCTCCACAGACTCTTTTTAAAATAGATTAACCCTCTCAGGCTCTAAATAAGTTTTGATAAAAGGACGAACAACTAAGTCCTTCAGGGGTACTTCTGAGTTAAAAAAATGCTCATGAAATACGTATATGTGGAGTAACCAGGTAGGTAGGTTTTAACGTTGCACATCTGCAACGCCTGCCTCCAGAGGGTTAAATTCGGGTTAAAAATCACTTCAAAACAAAAAATAGACAAAACAGAAAATAATTTTAAATATATTCCTGCTTTTAAAAATGTCAAAAATTCCAAATTCCAAAATGTGATTTTCACCACCACTACTCCAGAACTGCCTGGAAATGACCTTTTTCCAGTTCTGTGTAATATAACTGCGTCCGACTACTGGCTGGAATACCACAGCTTAATAATATGTGTGAAGATATTCCTTCATCGCTTTGGGCGAGTTGACTGGTTATCTGTTTATCACGTGTGCTGAACCCGTGCTATAGTACTAAACTCAGAGAGTTGTATTACTCCATGTGAATTGGTAAAGGCCATTTTACTCCTGATTAAACAGCTGTTCTATTCTGCAGTGATATGTAGCGAACAGCTCCTTTAATACTGTGGAGTCTATCATCTCATTCACAAACTGCACTCAACAAAGGTGCTAGTCATTTGTCTGAAATGACAAATCACTCACGCTGTGACTGATCGTGTGTGTGTGTGTGCGTGTGTGTGTGTGTGTGTGTTACTGGCAATGATGAGATAATTTCACCCCTTTTTTTGCTCTCCCTTTCCTCCTGCTGTACTCCACCTCCTTCCTTATTACCCTGTTTTCTGCTCACTTATTCTCCCCAATTGTTTTAGCTTATAAGATAGATAGAAGGAAGGAGGAAGATGGTGAGAGGAGAAGACAGACGCTTCTTGTGGATGTTGGTATTACACGTGTTGTGTTGCCCTTCTCTGACTCATGGCTGCATCCTCCCACTGCTGTTTAAAGGGGAGATTGTAATGTGTGCATCATAATTGGATGTGTAATCCTTTTCTTTTACACCCCCGGTAAGCAGTGCAGAGTGTTGCGAAGACAGTAAAGACCCGTTTTAGTTGTAAAGATGAGAGAAAAACAAAGATTCTACACCAACGTTTTATTTTTCAAACCGGTTCTGATGAGGGAAGCTGCTAGAATTTAGCAGGAGAAAACGTTGTGTTTTGGCTCCAGTGATCAGACAACAGATTGCTTCTTTGTGATTGTAAACAAGGAAGGGTGAGGATGCGGGGCAGCAGACGGAGTTCAGCTCCTTTTCCACGCTAACATGATTTGTTACGCAACAAATGCGGGAGCGTCTGTCAGCCAGCACAGTCAGTCTGTCAGGTGGACCTATTCCTCTCAGAATCCGAGGACTCTCCTTCACTTTGTGTGCGCGTGTGTGTGTGTGTGTGTGTGTGTGTGTGTGTGTGTGTGTGTGTGTGTGTGTGTGTGTGTGTGTGTGTTGCTGATGATTAACAGAAGGAAGATGCAAGAGTGAAAGAGGTGTAAAGCTCCACCTTCCTTCTTGTTTTTCAGCCTTCAGTGTGTCGGGACAGCAGGAAGGGCAGTTGTAGTCAGGGGAAACAGTTAATCAATAGCCACAAGGTCAGGCGGCTAACACTAGGCTAGCGTGTGCCCTGTTAGCGGTCTGTGGAGCTGCCTGGCTGCTGAAAGGGATTTGTAGCACTTGTCATGGCTTAAAGGAGCCCTTTCTGGACCACTTGTTCGAGTGGAAGTGTGTGAATGGCAGGAGAGGGAGACATCTGCTGGACACTCGGAGACACTGCATCAGCAGAATTAGGCCACCCAGCTCTAGTCGTAGGCACAGTTACACACGCAAACCTAACTTTTATGGAGAGATAGAGACACCGCTCTATTTAGGCTTCTGTCTGACAACATTTCTCTCCATTCGTGCAAGTGGAGTGTTTGCTTGTGTTTAAGACTTTAAGTGCACTCCAGGTAATTCTACGCTGGTAATACTTAAAGCTGAAGGGATTAGTAATACAGCCTTATTCTCAAAGCGTTCCTTTGAAGTTTTTTTACCTTTTTGCTTTTATCACATTCAGACGTTTGGATTTACAAGCTCTTAAATACATGTGTGTCAAGGTATTTTTTGTATATTAGAGAAAAAGTCTGAATTTATGCAGCACTGAATCAGAGATAATTCCATCACAAATGAAAAGTGCCTCTATCGTATCGAGGCCTTTTCTCCTCACGGGGACTCTTGGGGGACCCTTTATCAGAGCTGAGCAGCTTTATAGAGCCCTTCCCCCACCCCCACCTGTGGCTCCTCAGTTGGCCTTTTGTGTGGAGGAATGTGGGGACGGACCAAGGCCGATGGAGATAAACGCAGAGGGATGGAGGCCTCGCCGGCACAACCAGCACGATACCTTTTAATCCAGATTCAATCCGTCTCTGTGAGCCGGTCGGACTTGTTTCTGCTCCCTGATGGATCTGAGCAACATCTACACAGCGAGAAGGCGGTGCTGTAAAGCTGAACCTTATCTTTTCCTTGTAGATGTTGAAATAATGTGTAGGTGACATCGATAACCTCGAGTATGATGTCCAAATCTTCAGAATGGAGGTATCAGCTGTCTTCCTCAGCAGCGGCGGAAAACTTTTTTTCTTAGTTTCATCATGTGCTGCTAACAGGGCTGCCGTTGCACATCTCACCGTCTCGCGTTTGCCAAAAATCTGTGCTGAAGGCACGTCGACCTCTCCTATGAGACATTTTGTAAACAAACTTTCTGTGGAATTACTATAAAGCTCTTTGAACTCAACAGGCTGGTCTAACAGATCTCCTCCTCTTCTTCTTTTACAGAGTAAAGAAAAAAAGACTTTTAATGGAGTCCCGGTAGAGGCATCAAGATGAACACGCTACCATCGATGGACCGGCACATCCAGCAGACCAACGACAGGCTGCTGTGCATCAAACAGGTGTGCATGCGGTGGTCCCGCTGTAGCTTCGATAAACTGTGGTGCAAAATGTGGATTTCTGAGGGTTGAGACAAAACAATTCTCCCACTCTTTCTCCACTCCGTGCCTTTTATGGACATCAGTTTGTCTGGCTGTTAGCTCACAGATCGTGTTGCACAGGGCAGAGAACACAGGAATACTCTTCAAAGCAGCATATCAGACCCTGCCTCTCTCTCTTACTCCATCCTCGCCTCGTACCGTGCTGCCTGGCATCGTGTTCCCGACTCTTGACGTATGCATGTCCCTGTTGTGGTTTTGCTTAAACGCTTCCTTGATTGTCAGCTTTCAGGAGGCTTCTCAGCGACCAGTGCAGACGCATCCCAGGGCTATCCGCCTCTGCTGTGATTAATAGTCTGTAGAACTCATAGACTGCTTGGCTAGCTGGCTGGCTGCTGGCATATTTGTTTATGACACGTGGGCGTGATCCTTTATATCTCTAAACATCCATGTGACGCCATGCTTTAGAATAAATTAGCAAACGATAAAGCTTTCAGCTTGAGATTATGAGGCGACACATCCTTCTCTCTTCATTTCTGCGGTTCCTGCTTCTATAAAACTATAAAATTCAGTTTCTCGGCTCCTTTGCAAAGCCCATTTATTTACATCAGAATCTCAGAAAAGTCTTATTTTGATGTTTTGTCAAAGTCTGCTGTCTTTGTCTTTTGGCGTCATTGTTGAGTCCCATTTAGGTGTATCTGGGTAAGTGTTTTAATGTGAGTTTGGTTTATATTCTCCTCAGCGATTGCCGTTGAAGAGCTTGATTGTAAAGCAGACTTCAAAGAGACTCTGTTAGTCCGTGAGCTCTAAGCTTGTAACGACTGCCAGAAGGGCGTTGTTTTGGTTTTAGGGAAAGCTGCTGGCAGAGAGCCAAGTGTTTCTCTGTTTTTCATGCAACGCAGGTAGACACAGCCTGGTTTGAGGGGGTAATTCCATCAATTGCATGAGCTGAAACCCCCCATAAGTGCTGCGGTTCACCCCCACACACACCCTTGTTTTTGTCCTAATCTGACCCTCAACAGCAAACAACAACAGGAACAACTCGGGCCCCATCCTCTCTAACAAAACCAGCAGAGCCTTTTCTCTCCACTGTCCTCCCCCTCACGCCTGAGCTGAGGTTGTTGGTGGTTAGTGCTGCAGCGAGAGGATCTGAGACTTCAGATCCGAGGTAGACAGCCAGCACTGGAGGCTGATGCACCTCCCATCAAGTAGCAATAGTGCCAGATCACTCCATTCATCTAGAACTCCTAATCAACTAGAGCATCTCTCACTTTCTCTCACTCTCAGTCAGTCAGATGTCCTGAGACATAACTGTCATGGATTGTCTTCATGTCACCAGCAACAAGAATAACGCCGTTTAAAATAAAGTTTTTTTTCAGTAACGAGTAATCTTAATTAATTCTTCTTTAATCATAACGCCGTTTCCGTTACTGATAATAAAATGTGTACGTTATTAATTCAGCAGCGCGGTGTGTTGAAGCCGTCATCAGTTGACTGGGAGCTAAAAAGGCGGATGTTTTCATCCAAGCGCGTCGCGGCCCGTGAAGAGCGAGGAAGACGTGATGAACATTGTATGGCTGCAGACCCGCAGACTCACTGCTGCAGCCGTGCCCTTCTTGGCCTGATAACGGGACGTTCCAAAGGTCCGCTCACCTGTTCACCGCTCAGATGTCGTGAATGAGCGCCGTTATGGCTGCTCTCGTGGTCTGCCTGTATCTGTCCTGTCTATATGTGTGTGTGTAATCTTGGTCAGGCTGTTCTGTGGAGTCAAGTTCCTATGCTCTGGTTCACTAGCCTGGCAAGCCAGACTAAATAAATGTATTATTTATTCTTTGCAAAGCAAGAATTTGGTCTAGTTCACTAGGCTACTGGTTCGCTGGAGCACTGGCAATAAAATTCTCTCTGATTCTCTGATTTTCTACCTTCCTAGATCATCCAGCTGTAACCTGTTTCTGATCGTGTCTTTAGTCCCGCTGTAACGCTGATGCATCAGTCTCAAACATCATAGGTGCTCAGGTGTTATTAGAACTAGCTGTGTGTGTTTACCACCCAGCTGCAGCTCTTCTGTGTCTGGGTCTGACCCAAGTTAGTAAAGTTAAGTCCTCCATCAGAATTGTGCCTCTTCTATTTATTTAACCATCACTAGAGTACCAGCAACAGAAATGCTACTAAAAACACACAATTATGTGAATCTGGAAAAATTAGAATACTGTACAAAATTACATTTATTTCAGTAATTTCACTAGACTGAGAGACCATTTAAAGACTCAGGAACCTTTACAGGTGTTTCTATTTGCAATTTTAAATTTGTCTGATTGGGGTCTTGTTAAATATCACACAGAGACATTTTATTAGTCTAGATTAATGTAATGCTCCTGCTTGTAGTTCCTCCTGTTAGGTGCCCATTTATTTCAATTATTCAGTTTTATACAAAACATCTGGACACACATTTTATTATGTTCCAGGCATTAGTTATTTATATTTCAGTATTGTAGTAATTTATAGTAAAATAAATAAGTTTAATTAAGAGGGGAACCCATTTTTGTTGCATTGTTTAATTTAAAAAAAGTAACGAAATAGTTATTTTTCTTGTAATTTGTCACTTTTATAATCTTGTAACTCGGTAAGTAACTGAGTTACTTTTTTGACAAAGTAATCAGTAACTATAACTAAATACTTTTTAAAAGTAACGTTCCCAACACTGCTTGCACAAAGATGAGTCACTCAAGGCTCCTCTTGAAGTCCACAATATCACTATTTTTTCTCCTTGGTTCACACATCACCCAAAAAGGCTGCCCTTTCACCAAACACTCACCTCTGCTTCCCCATAAAGACAATAGTTGTAGCTTTGCTGCAAGACAACTCAAAGCGAAACGCTTCTGCTCCAGATAAGAATAATAAATGCTTTCAAGTGGGTTCAGTCTCGTCGAGTGAGCAAGCTGCAGCTCTGAACCATCTCAGAGCTATTAACCTCCCCAAGAAGAGAAGAAAGGAAGCCCACTTTTAAAACCGCTTATTGTGGATCGCCAGCCTCAAACACTGGGAAAAAAAGACTCGACTGTTTCAGGCCTCAGTGAACAAGCGAGAGAGACTGAAAGAGATTAGACAACACACCAACAGCTCGCACTGAGTCTGCACGCATAGCGGCCAGAACCAAGGTTGTTTTCTTTGTGTGCAGCCAAGTCAGCCAGTGGACCTCTGGTGCGGAGGCTCTGTTACCCTCTGAAAACCGGCAACGAATGAGGAGAAGAGCGAGACGGAAGATCGGAGGCAACGATTGGGTTTGCTGTGCGGGTCATGGGGGCGAGGGACGGGTGTTGCCAAGGGAGATTAACAAGAAACACTGGCATCATTGTTGATATGGGTGTGATCTTCTTCCCACAAAGCAGCAGAGCCCTGAGTGGGCGTACATCGGAAAGAGTGAAGGTCCTCATAGGGTTGTGCAGAAACACAAGACATTAAAGCACGGCAGTTTGAAGGGAGAGCGCAAGGCTGCAAAGCTATTTGGTTTCAGTGTTTCTCAAATTTGTACCAAACGTGAGAAGCAAATGACGGCCGCTCTGTTTGTTTCTAACGGCTATCTCCTCTCCATGTGTTTGCACAGCACTTACAGAACCCGGCCAACTTCCACTCCGCTGCCACGGAGCTGCTCGACTGGTGTGGAGATCCCCGGGCCTTCCAACGACCTTTCGAGCAAAGCCTCATGGGATGTCTGACGGTATGCAAACACTAATTATGGTTTGGGCTGAGTTTTTTCAGGTACTTTTTAGAAGACGTGTGCAAAACAGTAATTAAAAAGAAAAAAAGCTGGGCCAATGTGTCCTTAAAGATGAATTACCCAATCTGGGCTTGGATTATGTCTGTGCAAATTATAATACAAACACTTTATGGTGATATTATTTGCTGTCTAAATGAGTTATATCTCATAGGAGCTGGGATCAGTTGATCTGAGCATGTCTGAGATTTAAGGTAACAAAATGTACACACCTGTGTACATGCTGGTGTGAAGTCCAAGCAGAAAAACTAGGGTTTATTTGCGTTTATTGCTAAATTAAGTCTCTAAAACTGTAAAGGCATTGTTACCAGCTCACGTGAGCAAACAGATAAATTCTCATTAATGAGTAAATCGCAACAAAAGCCTCTTAAAGGGTGATAAAGAGCTATACAGCGGGCCCAACCGCTGAGATCCCTCTCAGTGTGAGGCTCTCTTCATCTGCTAAATTGTTTCATCAGGTTCACAGAGCAAACCGCAGCTTATCTAGGAAACGGCTGCCCCTAACGAGTCTGTGCATTTTTTCTTTTTGTTCTGTCGAGTGGGCGGGAAAAGTCAGTCCAGCACACACGTTACACGAATTATTACCATCCTTTTTCTGAAGAATCACCCACGTAGTTCACTGGGAGCTGCTTTTCTTAGAAGACGGGGAGGAGAATTGTAGCAAAAGTGATTCATTTTCATATTCGACGAATAGATCAACACAAACACGAGTGGCCCGCTAACCCCGCGGCACCTCTTGCAGCACTGTTCTCATACTGACAGGAATACGGGCCCGGGCATACGTCCTCCGAGGGAGATTAAGCTGGAAAAGGCTTATGAGGTGAAACACTGTTAAATCCATGTTAAATCTATGCTAGCCCTTGTAGCTGGCTGCCTGCCTTGTGCTAACTCCAGGGCCCAACTCACTCACGCAGGAAATTAAACGATTGACAGCAACGCGGCTTGACCATTTTCTGGATAGTTTGCATAATATGGTTTGGCTGAATAGATTATGTTGGCATGCTGATGACTCCTAAGCAGCTCCAGATGAATGCAAGGCTCTCGCACTGGAAGTGTAAAATAATTTACTCTCATCTCAAGTCCAGTCCAATAAATCCAGCTGGTGACGTGGTTCCCTCAGCAAATCAGCCGGACTTAAAGAGCAAGTCAACCCCTACCAGAGTCTAACTCCACTCCCACTTCATGTTCGAAAAATGCAACACATGCTGTTGCCTGGCAGACCGAGGGGGCGGAGCCGCTAACAAATACACACACACTCACCCCGGCTTTCCACCAGAGCTGTCAGCAGCACGTTACTGCAGCAGCACGTCATAGCTGCTGATAGGAACCGCTGTGGTCAACAGAACCTTTTCCACTGGAGCCGTCAGCAGCGCGAGTCGGCCGCGTCTCAGAAGCAGCATGTCGCGGCCTTTACGCGCCGGTTCTATTTTCTACGCGCGACGCCTCTGAAACGGGTCAAGTTCGACATTTTTGGGGAAGGAAAGACAGGAAATCGGACGCGGAAATGGAGAGAATCTACCGATATTTTCAGAATAAAGAACGTACTGCCTTCCGGTTGCTTTACTTTAAAAGGTTACTTACTGTGCGGCCCTGTGAGAAGTTATCACCTAGCTAGCGGTCTCCTTTGTTTTTCAGGTCCGTATTGGCGATTATAAAACGGACAGAACATAAAACACAAACCATGTTGAAGTTTTCTCCTGCTTGTTGTTGTGTTTACTGACGAAGTCACTCGTGTGACTTCGTGCTCGGTCGGTGACGGCTGCTCCCCTGCTGCTTCGCGTCTCGTGGGAAGGGCCAAGCAGCAGCTTACGCGAGCAAGACGTGCTGCTGCAGTAACATGCTGCTGACGGCTCCCGTGGAAACCCGGGGTAAGGCTCACGACAGCATTGTGACATCATAATGTACCAGTTTACATCATAGCATGCCTCTTAGCCAATAGCGGTGGCAGATTTAAATTAAAATACAGTGCAGAGTTTTTACCTGACAACGGCACAACACTGCCAGTTTTAGGCAGAATATTTAAATTTTAACTAAGATGCACAGAAATGCCAAATTATTGACGACATGTGTCTGCAGTACGATCAGACACGCATTTATTTAGTTTATCAGCAAAAAAAAAAATTTATTTGGGGGTGACTTTCTCTTTAACTTTCATTTGTGTTTTGAGGTCGGGGGGAGCAGATGTAAGTTCCTGTTAAACATCCATCAGAATTATCTGTGATATTCTAGTCTACTTTAAAAAAAAATGTAGTTTCTCTTTCAGAAATCCTTTCTTGTTCTCAGACACTCCCAAACCTTTAGGACGCATCATGTTGCGAGCTCATGTTCACGTTGTAGGAACACGTCTTGTTTCGTTTTAACCTTCTAGGAGCTCTACAGTGACTTTCCCAGGTTTGGCTCCAGAGGAGGATGCGGCCATTAGACTCGTCCCAACTGGGGCTCGTCGGGCAAATCCAGATGACAGGCTCCACATTAATCTCAATTTGTCTGCGTTTGTGTGTGCCCACATTATTTGTGCCTCCAAAAGGGAAAGTGCAGCTCGGCGTGGTTCAGGAAAATTAAAATCCAAAAGGAGTATCAAGAAAAAAGAAATCTAGGACAGCTTGATTGGGTTAACGCTTGTGATTTGTTGCTGTTTCTGCAGGTTGTGAGTCGTGTGGCTGCCCAGCAGGGGTTTGACTTGGACCTGGGCTACAGGTTGCTCGCCGTTTGTGCTGCCAACCGGGACAAATTTACTCCCAAGTCTGCTGGTAAGACCCCCTGCACTTGTTTAAAGTGCAAACAGACGCATGCCCATCAGTCATGCCATTTACTAGTGTTGAGTTGTAAAGCAGAACTCCCACTCATAGAACCACCTTAAGGTCGTCGTTAACAGACAAACCAACAGTATAGGTTGTTGCTCTGGGCCCATCGGTGCTCACAAAAGAGTAAGTTTAAGTGTTAAAGTAAATCTGTATTCTCCCTACCAAACAACCTCATCCACAGACAACACACAAAAAGCACAGAGAGTATTATAATGTCAAGATATTTTTAGTTCCCATTAAACATTAATGTGCCATTGAGACAAGCTGTCTGAGTGGTAGCCTCAGAAAAAACTGTCCACTCACCAGTCGCTCCACACAAACCCACACTGCATGTGTGTGTGTGTGCGTGTGAAGACCTGCATGCACACACACACGTGAAGCAGGGAAGAGAAAGCAGTAATTCTATCTTCAGACATTTATCTATCAAATCCAATTTCCTCCAATCCACCCCCCAACCTCCACACACTCCTGCAGGAGCGGCCTGCTCTTGTGCATTTGTCAAAGTGAAACATGCAGAGGCGGGAAGGAGGAGAGTGAGGGACAGAAAACGACGGATGGATGAAGAGGTGTCACTGGTGTGTGCCGGACCGCTCCCTCTGCCTGACAGAGACCCGGTGAAGCGGCTCCCAGCCAGCCGGAACACAGATAAACCTTTGTTCAGTCGTTAGATAAGCAAGAGAGCCAAACATTTGGATTTCTTTGTTTTTGTGACAAAGTGCATGAAAAAGGAGCTGGGGCAGAACAGCTGCGAGTAACCCTTTGTAATCTCATTCTGACGTTCTTCTTCACTCAAGCTGCAAAAGAAAAGTTGAAAAGCAAGAAAAGGATCCGTTTCAGCGTTTTCACTCATGATAAGAACGTTCACTAAAGCTGAGTATCTAATTTCAGTTGTGGCGGAAAGCATTTTGTTGGGAGGAACCTAAGTGCTCTGACAGACGTCCGTGAGCAATATTGATCCCTGTATTTCTCTCTCTGTCTGTGTTCTTGTGTTGGGATAATGTGATTGCTGTCCAGGCACGGCCCGGGCTGACTGGCTGGGCCCAGCTGACAGTCGGAATCATCTTCAGGCTCGCTGATGGTTCTGGGATCTAATTGGAGGGAACACGGAGTTTCAGGAAGAGCTGTTTATGTACACTGGACAAATGGGAGCTGTAGTGTAATCATGCGGAGTCGGGTTAGTGATAACAGATAGGATGCAGGCAAGGAGGGTGGGCGGGTTGAGGGATGGGGATACAGATGTGACTCAGTGAAGAACATCCATCTCAACCTTCAAACGAGGTTTTTCTGAGAATAGAGGGGGGTTTAAAGAAAGTAAAAGTTAACCTCCACTGCTCTTTTATTAGTCTGAAAGTGTGTGTGCATAAGTGCGTGCGTGGATGTGTGTGCAATTGTGCAGCATCAGCGTAATATTCTGACAGCCTGCATGGCGACAGAGGCCTGCAGATCCGACACCTGAGAGGCCAGACGATGGCAGGAGTCTGGGATGCTGTCTTCAGGCTCCTCGGGGAAAGGGGCAGAGTTGAGAAGAGTGCAGATCAGATTCACTCAAGGAAGACATTTATGAAGCTGTTAGTGAATGACAGACAGATGAAATCATTTACTGATCCCATGAGAAGGATTAGTTTAGTCTCGGCAAAAAAGAAACTTACAGGACAAAAGACAGAGGATGAAAACAGTGTTTTTATGTTTTTTATTATGTGTTTGTTTCTGAATAAGCCCAGCACGTGTTCCTGATGAGAGAGCCTGAGACCTGACTGAAGCCTACTTCTCCGTCGGTACAGAGACACGCAACACCATTATGCGTCGGCGCGGGGGCTCTCCGACAGGCGTAGAGGGTGACGGAGACATGCCCAAATTTTTATATCCATCAATAATGACGCCGACCGCACCGTTTACTGCTCTATGACCGCAGGTGAAGAGAGACGTGAAGCATGGTTATTGCCCACCACCTAGTTAGACCCAATCCCAATTCTGCGCCCCATAGTCTTCTTTGAAATGCACTTGGAGGAAGTGCGCAGTAAGGCTTTGAGTGTGTGATACACAAGTGTGCAAATAATTGCAGAATTGGAACGTGGCGTTGCGTCATCAACAGCATGCCGGGATGCTGGTCGCTGAGCTACTTTATTAAATAAAGTCTATTTTCTTTAAATCTTGCAGAAAAGGCACTTTAGCCTTTGCGCCGCCTTCTCAAAGTTCCTCTGCAGCAATGAACTGAGGCTAAAGCAGATAAAGGGTGCAAAAAGGGCGTGGTCAACTTACGCACTTGAGAATCGCACTCGCACCCCTGGACTGAAATGCGCTATTGAAGTGCTCGAGAACTGGGATTGGGCCTTATTCCACATCCAAGGAAGGTTTTACGCAACTGAGACACTGAGGATATGGGGAACTACTGCCACCTCCAGGCATGCTTATGAATGTGCATCACAATCCACTGAATTCTTTTAGCTGAAAACCAGGTGGTGTGGACTAGGGCTGGGCGATATAGAAACAAAGTATATCAATAACAATTTTTTATTGATATCAATATTTATTGAAAAAGAGTCTTAAAATAGTAGAAAATGTGTTTTACGTGCAGCTCTGACCATTTTATTTGAGGTGTTTTTATTTCTTCTCCACCTTTTCTCGCTGAGACATCTTGCTGCCTCATGCTCTGTTTTGGCTTGAGAGGGAAGAGCCTGGTGAAGTAGCGTGCCCGAGCTGGTGGTTTTGATTGGTTTGGAGTAAATAGTGAGTCTAGTGTGCTGCTACCTGATAGGTTATAATGAAAAAGGAAACTTTTTTTTATTGAAGTTTTATTGACCCATTTTTTGTGCCTATCACACCACATGTCTATCAATAGATATGTTGAACTATTGAATTATCGACCAGCCCTAGTGTGGACCCAAGATTTTTCTAGATGAGTGGGATTTTACAAAAACCCGGCTACATGGCCTAAAAGCCATGGCAGCACTAGTCCCACTCGGGTAAGCAAACCCCAAAACAAACCAACTGCTGTTCCGTTGGACCCGTCGAATAACGAGGAGAGATTTTCTGCAACAGCAGGCTACTGCTGCTGAGCTGTCTGGAGATTGTGACCCTCCAGTGAAGCCCAGGGGATTATTGTGTTGCTCTAATCTGGAATCAGCCGGTGAAGAGACTCATCTGCTGTTAGGCAATGCGGCATTAGCACTGTTAACTCACGGAGCGTTGAGGATACACAACTCCGACCCGTTTGCATTGCTTCGCTGTAAGTAGTTTGTAAGTGTTCTCTAAATTATCTTCTGTGCTCCTGTACAAAAATATCCTTTTTAGTTAATTGTTTTATTGGTCTTTCTCCTTTACCCCTGATAATCAGCTGCCTACTGCCAGCAGATTTCCAACTCATCAGAGGTTTGCCATATTCTAGGTGTGCAGCTGCCCTACAAACACGCTCAACCCTAACAGACTGAGCTGTTGGTCTGCTGTGAAGTTCAGCAGACAACAAATCAGATTATCCACATAATCCCTCCAGGGTTTTTCTGTTTCTATCCTGGGTGAATCTGCCAGTCTGTCATCCAGCTCATAAAAGTCCTCTTTCAGAAGATAGAACTCTCTTTAATGAACCTTAAATTTTTCATTATGACTCTCAGTCCACTTCTCATGTAAACTTCTGTTTATAAGTGTCTGTTTTTGTTAAGCCTATATGAGATTAAAGGTCGCCGTTGCCCTCTGAAACATGACCAAACACGGCGTGGACTCCTCGTTGGAAACAGAACTGTTTCTCCTTCGTGTTTAATGTTTCAGTCCACACGGGCAGCTGCGTGTTGCATCGGACTGATTATTCACACCCCTCATCCAAACCACTAAGATCAGCAGGTGTTGTGACATCAGGTGAAGAAAGTGTTTAGAGGGGATAGCAAGAACACACACACACACACACACACATCAGTCACATGAAGAAACCAAACTGTCAGCGCTCGGTCATTCACCAGAGCACACTCGCATCAGGAGAACAATCCACCCTGTCAGCGATGACAGAAAACTTCCAGGGCGTGGCTGCAACTGACCCCATGTCCTTAGATGGACACTCTCCCAAAACTCCTCATCAGCACGGTGGAATCAAACGAAGAAGCCAAAGTGGTGCCCGTATACACACACCCTCCGCTGCTTTTAGAAAACGGCTATCTCCTTCAGTTTATCTTCATTTGATCGAGTTTCAAGCCCCGTTTTTCTCCCCAACTTTGAGCTGTGTGTAGAAACTTAGGAGCATCCTTTGACCCAGTCACCCCCACAGCCAATTACTGCTGAGTAAGAGCAGGGTGCTGAATTATTAAGAAGAAACAGGGTTTATTTTTAGCAGCCGGTCCCTTCCTCTGACACTCTCCCATTGTGTTCTTCAGATGACGAAACCTCAATGCAACCCCGAATCTACTTTCAAAATTACAACGTTGGTTTTTGAAGTGAAGCCTCATGGGAAGGTTCCTTTTGGGGTGCGTTCGTCGCCCCTGGCTGGTTGGGTCCTCGGTCACTTGCCTCTTAACTGTTTTGGGTTTACACAGTCTCAGGCAGACTCTCTCCTAACTGTGCCTGCACTTGTAATCCAAACACAGAGGACTTTGTTCTCGCACAAAACCAGATGAGCAAATCATCTAAATCCTCTTTTTGTTCTCGGTTGACTGATCTGGCACCCACACCTCAGAACTCACCCCCCATGCACACACCCATCTAGGGGCTTTTGACACACCCTGTTAAAGTTATATATCTGTCCAACAAGACTCCTGTACGTGTTTTTATTCTGGATGGGGCATTTGGGATGATGATAGGAAACTTCCCCCTGCTGCAGGGTATCCGCGGGTCCTTAAAAAGTCTTAAATTGGCTTTTCCAAATTTAAGGCCTTAAAAATCCTTAAAAATGACAAATAATCCTTAAATACAGTTTCCAAAGGTCTTAAATTATCAAAGACCCAATAAACAAGATTATTTCTATA